GGTTTCACCATATTGGCCAAGCTGGTCTCCAACTCCTGACCTCAAGTGATCCGCCTGCCTCAGCCTCCCAAAGTGCTAGGATTACAGGTGTGAGCCGCGGCGCCAAGACCTATTTTCCTTCTTTTGTATTACTATTTAAAACTATTATTTACAGGCTGGGTGTGGTAGCTCACACCTGTAATCTCAGCACTTTGAGAGGCCAAAATGGGAGGACTGCTTGAGCCCAGGAGTTCAAGACCAGCCTGGGCAACAAAACAAGACCCCATCTCTACAAAAAAGCATACAAACAAAAAATTAGCCATGCATGGTGGTGTACACCTGTAGTCCCAGCTCTTGAGAGGCTGAGATGGGAGGATTGCTTGAGCCAAGGGGTTCAAGGCTGCAGTGTGCTGTGATTGCATCACTGCACTCCAGCCTACGTGAGAGTAATAACCCTGTCTCTAAAAAAAAAAAAAAAGGATACCATTTACAACATTTTTGGTGTGTTCTCTACTGCTTTAGAAAACCCATTCTTTTTCATTTTGCTCTCAAGTTCCCCACTCCTGGGTTCTTAATGTTATTTCTCTGTGTTCTGGAACATTTCTTTGAGTAATGTATTCAGAAAAGATGACTAGGTAGTGTTGGCTGAGTTCTTACATACCTAGAAATGTCTTTTGCCTTTATAAGTGAGCAGCAGTTAACTTGGATATAAAATTATTGGGACCTTGTATTAGGTAGGTTCAAGCCAAGCATTGTAAAATAAAGCCCCAAATGTGCAGATCAAATAAAGATAAAAATTTAGTTCTCTTTAGTGTAATACTTTGTTATGCAACAGTACTCAACAACTGTGTTCCACAAGGCCATCCTGGCAGATGGGATCACCTCTGTTATCACATTATTTGGCTTTCATGTTTGAGTCTAAGAGGGCTTTTTCCCTCCTTGCCCCAGTCCTTTGAAATGTCTAGTCAAGACCCTTTCCAAGTTTTTGTTGCTTGTTTGTTGGAGATGGAGTCTCCAACACGCGATGTCGGCTAACTGCAACCTCTGCCTGCTAGGTTCAAGCAAATCTCCTGCCTCAGCCTCCCAGGTAGCTGGGATTACAGGTGCACGCCACAGGCCTGGTTAATTTTTATATTTTTAGTAGAGACAGGGTTTCACTGTGTTGGCCAGGCTGGTCTTGAACTCCTGACCTCAGGTGATTGGCCCGCCTTGGCCTCCCAGAGTGCTGGGATTACAGACATGAGCCGCTGTGCCCATCCTTGCCACCAATTCTCATTCATTTTCTTTGATGGCTAAAACTTCTTACAGTTTTGTAAGAAAGCATATAGGAGATAATGTATATAGGAGATATTGCTATAGAGTGTAAGGAGATAGAGGTGGTATTGGCAGTGGTGGTTTTGCCTATGTGCCCTTCTCTAGAGTTGATGTTGAGTTACCTAAAGTATCTTCCCTTAGAGTTGATGTGAATTAAACACTGGTTTTACAAAGAGAACCCCAGAAAAGTAGCTGAGGCCATTGATAAAGAGCAGGTAGGTCATTGGCTGCCGTATTATCAGTGCTAAACTTTGCATTTTTTTCTTGCAGAAAATATATTTGATTTATTTGTTTAGGACTTGGGGGTTAGCTTTGATGTGCAATTAAAAGTCAGTTGATGGTTAACTAGAAAATGAGAAATAAGTGACTTGCTTGCTACCATTGTTTTTGAAGGGAGAAATTCAGAAAATATATTTACTGAGAAGTTAAAGGAAGACAGTATTCCTGCTCCTCGCACTGTTGGCAGTATTAAAATCAACTTTACCCCTCGAGTATTCCCAACAGCTCTTCGTGAATCACAAGTAGCAGAAGAGGAGGAGGTAGATATACTTACTGTAGTTACAATTACCACAAATGAAAATACTTTATTTTTATTTCATCTACTGAAATTAGTGCTGGTTCTGCGTTTCTTAAGTATTTATTATACTAAATAAATAATGTCATGAATATATTTTAGAATTTCCTTATGAGAAAATATATTTTGCAGATTTTTTTTGGCTCCAGAATAGTGATAAGAGAACACTGATTTAGTATATGTACAGTAGGCCGGGCACAGTGGCTCACACCTGTAATCCCAGCACTTTGGGAGGCCAAGATGGGTGGATCACTTGAGGTCAGGAGTTCGAGACCAACCTGACTAACATGGGGAAACCCCATCTGTACTAAAAATACAAAAAATTAGCCAGACGTGGTGGTGGTGCATACCTGTAATTCCAGCCACTTGGGAGGCTGAGGCAGAAGAATTGCTTGAACCGGGGAGTCAGGGGTTGCCCTGAACTGAGATCTTGCCACTGCACCCCAGCTTGGGTGATAGAGTGAGACTTCATCACAAAACAATGAAAAACTTACATATATATATATATATATAT